CTTGCAGGATATACCCAATGGACCAAGATCAGGACTATAGAGAGGATGCTTTAATACTTTAAAACAGAGTTTTGCAGAGTATCAACAGTGTGGGCAAAGGTATGTGAACATGCATTGTCATGCAAGATCACTATGCCCTTAGATAGCAATTCTCTGCATTTAATCCAAATTTTAGGCTTCAACTTTTCAGTGAGCCTCTCACTGTAATGAGCACTGTTGATTGTAGAACCTTTTTCCTGATAGTGTTCCAATACTGGCCATTGAGAATCCCAAGAAACTGCAAGCATCAATTTTCCAACTGATGGTTGACTTTAACTTTTGTTGGTTGGCGACTGAGGATGTTTCCATTCCATACTCAGCAGTTTACTCTCAGTCTCATAGAGATGAATTGTGCCTCATCACCAGTAATGATTTAAAAATAAACTTTTACTTCTTTGGAGTATTGGTCCAAATTATGTTTGTAGATGTCCAAACGCTTCTGTTTATGTTCTTCTGTGAGTGGTTTCAGTACCCTTCTCTAACGAATTTTTCAAAACCCAAGTATGTCATGGATTATTTCATAAGCAGAGACATGGCAAATGACTTGCCACATAATCCACTCATCTATTTGACAGAATCATTTCATGTGAGTGCTTAATGTCATCATCAGCATGGACGTAGATGGGTGTGTCTTGCTCCTTCTTTATGGCTGACACTTTTGTGACCATCCTTGAACTACTCGATCCATTCATACATACTTCTTCATGACAAAACACTTTTTCCACACTGTGCACAAAGTCTTCGAAAAATACCAGCATCAGGCACACACCGTCAGACCACAAAAAAACATTATCATTGCATGCTGTTCTTCTTTTGTGCAAATCATAAGTGGGCAGTCATTTTTTTCTCACACTCCGATTACAAATGAACTGATATAACACATTCACACCTGCCCAGCAGTGACCTTGAACACAAAGCTCTGGTAAGACAGTTCAGTCAACAGAAGCTTTAATATAACCAGAATGTGGATACCTTTTGACTCACTCGTTTGTGTGTGTATGTGTGTGTGTGTATAGCTGTTGTTATGTGTCCTGAAGTCAGTTTCGACTCATAGCAACCATATATAAGGTTTCTGAAGCTGTAAATCTTTGTAGGAGTAGAAACTCTCATCTTTTTCATGCAGAGTGGTTGGTGGGCTTAAACTGCTGACCTTGTGAGTCACAGTCCAGTGCTTATCCTATGGATTCACTGCACTCACTATATATAGACAATATCATTGTTTTTGTTAAGTGTCATCAAGTTGGTTCTGATTCATAGAGATCCTGTATAGGATTTCCAAGGCTGCAAATCTTGCAGGAGCAGAAAATCTCATTTTTCTCCCATGGGGTAGCTGGTGGGCTTGAACATCCGACCTTGTAGCAGTTATCCTACAAAATCACTGCACTCCCCGACACATACTCTATATACATACATTTCACTGTTTTCGGCTTCTCCAGGTAGTATTCTGCTACCTACTGAGTGGATTAAGCATAGTTGCTCAAACTCACCAGCTGCTCCTTGAAAGAAACATGACAGTTTGTTTCCAGAAAAAGTCTAGTAGCCTGCCATCTGACTTGCTGGATCTTGGATTTATTAGCTCCTGCAACTTATTTTTCCAAAACTTTTAAAGCCTCGGAATCCCTATAGAGTAGTTCTACTCTGTCCTATAGGGAAGTACAAGCTGGCAGTGGATGGGCTCTCTACTACTGTACACAGATGTCCGACTGGAGTTCCCAGTCATAGATTAACACCAGAAACACTCTCAAACAATTCAACTGCAACCACAGCCCACCCAAAATACCACTGCACAGGACAAGGGTAGAGCCCAGTACGAGGCCCTGGACAGAGCTCGTGAGCTTTTGCTCTCCTACTGCAGCCTGACAGCCCCCTCACCGGTAATAGGCTGGAGCTCCACGAGGGCAGAGGAGAGAGTGCTGCTTAGCACCTGGTACTGAGTCACAGCAATGTGTGCATTCTGGTTGGTACGCACTTTCACCATTTTCCCATTGTCCATGTAGTAGTTTGGGGACAGCGTCATCTAGAAGCCAGAGACATCAGATGTGATTTCAAAGGAAGAGCAGAAAACCCACCTATCCAGGAGACAGTTCACTCACCTTGTGGTGCTGCCGCTGGCCTTGTACCTCCTTCTCAATGATGGGGATGTTGACAACTCCTGCCGAAGGAGTGGGGACATGTATGGTGATGGCCCTGGGAGTGACACAGAACATGTTTTAGCCATGGCAATAAAGCCTTGTTTCTTGGATTTGGCTGCTCAGGATCAAACACTAGACTTTCTGTACTAAATGTGGTCAGTTTTTAAGACTGATGAGTCTCAAATGAATCTCTTGGTGTAGTGCTAAGCCTAATAGTGTTGATACTATTTTTACAAACAATAACTTTTTATTGAATGTTAACTGCATTCAGTAATGTTAATTAATAATGATGGGGAGACCAAAAAAGCAACAAAAAAAGTTGTATTAGCAACTTGGTCTTTCATCCTAACCTTTAAAAATAGATGTGTATATTTAAAAACAAAAATAGGAAAATATGAGGAGGCTTCAAAAATTTGTGGAAAGAGACTTCTGGCAAGATGGTAGACTAGGCAGACATACTACATAGACCCTCTACAACAAACATACAAAAGACCAAAAAAAACAGACACAGATGAAGACTATGGAATCCTGAACTTCAGAGGAAAGATTAAGAAGTGAATTGAATGTTTGCTGGGAGGAGAAGCTAGCAGGGATGTCAAGATAGAGGATGACTGGTTAACGGCCAGAGAGACGTAGCACAACCATCTTGAACTTTTGTGAGCAGCTTTGGCAACAGACTGTGGCCTGGCAGAACAGATTCATACAGGCGACGGGAAAACAGATTCTTTCCCCCCAAGCTCCCTGATGTCCAGAGGTGTGGCCAGCTCCCACCCTCATTCACCCCCCCCACCCCCACCCCGGCATAGATCCTGCTCTCCAGGAGTTTGTAGTCATGTAGCTGGAAGCCAAGACAGTGTAAGCTGAGGTCCAGCTGTGCTGCTTTGGTGCCTGGATTCAGTCAGGCTCAGCTCCAGACCTACAGGACCCGAAGATCCACCAGACCAGCATTTAAACAGTTTCCCTGTTCCCAGCTCCCCTGTGGTCCCAACAAATGCTGAAATAAGCCCCATCAAGGTCCTCTAGGAATTACTTCCGGATTGAGTGCCTTGAACATACATAACACCAAGGTTAACAGGAACTCCACCTAGGACCAGGAACTCTGCTGTCACATCCCTCCCACACCCATTTTGTAAGCACCTAGGCTGACAGGAGCCTCCTCCACCCCCACCCCCACCCCAAGTTTTCTTCTCTTGGGTACAACAGCTGTGCTGTTTTTTGCTTTTGTTTCTGGTTTTGTTTTCTTTTCTTTTTCTCATTGCTTTTGTTTTTTTATTCTTTCTCCTCCTCCTTCTCTTCCTATCCTTGAATTTTATCTTTTCCTTCTTCGCTTGTGCTTTTATCGTCTTTTCTTCTGCTTATTTCCCCTCTTCTTTTTGATTCCCTTTTGATCTATCTTTACTACTCTCAACTCTCTCTTTTCATCTTCCCCTCAGTGGTTTTTCTGTTTCTTTTATTTCTTCTTTTATTTTTCTCTTCTAATAGCTCCATTTTCCTGTCTCTCTTTCACCTTTATAGCTATTATATTCTTTTTTTCTGGTTGCTACCTGTTTTTAGTTCTTTTTATCTTTTAATTATTTTCTCTTTTAATTGTTGGTTCCTTGATTGTTTATTCTACTTGTTTCCGTGTGTGTGTGTGTGTGTGTGTGTGTGTGTGTGTGTGTGTGTGAGGGGGGAGGGGTGTCTCTTTCCCATCTGACAGGAGAAATCAACTGTTTCCAAACAGCCCAGTCATAACCATATCCTCTGCAATTCCACCCAC